AGAACATACGACAATAGTAAAGTATCTATTTCAACGACGATGGTATACTTTGATGAAAAAACAGACATATTTATTAAATAATGATTACTTATTAGAAAAAACATAACAAAAACATAATCATGTATTTAATAAAAAAAAATCTGTACATCTCTTATGCTGTAAATATGTTACGAACATACGTTTTCTTTATATAAAAACAAAAAACAATACTTAAATTCAGTCTTTTGTACATTTTTATCTCTTTCATTTCATTGGAGACTCAGTGCAAGCTAAAATTTAAAAATTTAAAATTTTAAAATTAGTTACTTAGTTTAATTTTCAATTTTAATTGTATCGTTATAGTAGAGGACCATCCAATTGTCGTAAGTTCAAAGTTTTGCGATACATACGACAAATGTTTTATGATTAAAAAAGGATTACATTTGTATGGGAATTTGTCGTATGTGACGCATTTTCAGCACATACAACAAAAGGCATACCCAATCATTAATATTATGTAACATACGACAAAATGCGCACGAAATATCTCAAAAACTAATGGAGATATAAAAAAATGGATTGTAGAAATCGAAAGAGCATGTCCAACTTAGTAAATCTGCATCAAAATCCCAAAATCGTGATTTTGCACATTCGTCATCCGTTTTCTGAGGCGACGATATGTACGTACTTACATACATATAAAACATTGAATGAATCCCGGAAACTTTTAAAACTGAAATTCCTTATCTAAATCACCATTTACTTTGCTTTATAATCGACATCATTTATCTCTTATCTAGTATGTATATATTCATGTGACAACAATCATTAGCCTTATTACCATAATAAGTCGTTAAACCAGTAAATTATCTATCTGAAACTTTGTTTGTAGAATAAAATTGTGTAGTATTTAATATTTTTTACTAGGGATGTGCGATTAATCGGTTAATTAAGTTTCTGATTAATCAGGTCCTGAGTAACTACTGTTTACTCAAAAAAAAATTATTGAAATCTGAATAACTGCAAACCAAAGTTCCCGAAATCTTAAGGAAATCGTTAGGAGTATCTCATTTATGTAACGATTTTTTCATGATAAAAACATAGCAAGGTATAACCGTTCTCTCAATTTGTCGGCCATGATTTTTTTTTGAAGTTTGCCAACATTTTAAAATCATATAAAAGTGAAAATAAAAAATTGAAATTGTTCGAAATTGTTGTTGCTTGAGATTGAAAATGAAAATGTGTGTGTGAGTTTGTGAGTAAATTTAAAAATTAAATTGTTTGGAAACGTCAAGAAATTTAAAAGTGACTCTCAGCGGTTCTACCTTACTATATTTTTAACATGGATTTTTTTACGAATTTTCAAAGGCTGCGTTTCTTTATACATTCTGGATAATCCCATTTCACAGCCGGAATAAACAGAATGCGTTTGAAATATACGTTAACATATCACGAGGAGCGTTCTAAAGAATAAGTAAACAAAAAAGTTTATTCCAAACGTTCAGAATGAATAAAGAAATGCAGCCAAAGAAAATTATATGAAGTGGTTGAGACGAACTCGTAAAGAAATTTCTGTACGAAAAATAAAGAAAATTCTGGAAAAATTCTGAAAGATATTCTTCACATAGCACCATTATTTTCGTTGCTTCACAGATTTTCTTCTGAAATTTCGTGAAAGAATGGAAGTGAGCTTAATTTATTTCATTTTAGAAAATTCGGCAAAAAATCGAATTAAATCTTAACGAATTCTTTTAAATTTCTTTACATTGCAGAATACTCTGAAAAAATGGTTTGTAGGGAAATCAAATGAATTTTTTTTATACCCGAGCGCACTTGTGCACAAGGGTATATTAATTTTGTTCACATAACGGTTGTTTGTAACAGCCAAAACGAATCGAGATAGATATAGATAAATGTATGCATAAATGATCAGAATGAGAATGAAGAGAAATCTATAAAGCGGTGACTGTCTGTCCGTCCGTCCGTCTGTCCGTCCGTCTGTGCACACGATAACTCGAGTAAAAATTAAGATATCTTAACGAAACTTGGTACGTGGACTTCTTTCGGGCGTAGGACGGATGGTATTGAAAATGGGCAAAATCGGACAATAACCACGCCTACATCCCATATAACGGTAATTTTCAGAAATACAAAAACTGCGATATTTTAGTAACTACTGAAGATAATTCACTCAAGATTGATATTTACAATAAATTTTAGACGAAAAATAAGAATATTAACATTTTTTTGAAAATGGGCGTAGCCACGCCCACTTATGGTTACATGTGTATAGCTTGGTAACCGCTGCATCAATTTTCTTCCAAACTTGGCACAGTTGTTGGCCCTGGTACAGCATACCAAATGGCCGAAAATTTTTAAAATCGGACAATAACCACGCCCACATCCCATATAACGGTAATTTAGAGAAATACAAAATCTTCGATAAATCAGTAAATATTAAAGCTAATTTCTTCAAAATTGCAACAATTCTTTACCAAGAAATACGTTTATGGTAAAATTTTGGAAATTGGGCGTGGCACCGCCCACTTATGATCACATATATGTATATCGGTAACCGTTCTACCAATTTGTACCAAACTCGGTATTTATATTGTGCTTGCCACATAAAAGCAAAACGTTGAAAATTATTCGGCTCTGCCCGAACTTAAACTTTCTCATATAACAGGTTGGCCAAAATATTAAGTTAGATTAAGTTATTAAAATTAAGTCTAGACTAACTGAGCTTTTGAGTTATTGGAATTTAGTGGGTTACATCACATTTAACTCATACATATGCATTTACACAGGTGCTCGAGCTGGAGCTGTACCAGGAGAACTGCTTGGTTATTGGGAAATGCATACCAAATACGGGCGTCTACCTTGGAAAGCGCTATTTCAGCCTACCATAAAATTGTGCAAAGAAGGTCATTGGGTCTCTCAATACCTCGCTGCGGCCATCAAATCAAAAGAAGATATAATTCGTAACGAACCGTCGTTGGCAGAAGTCTTTCTCAAAGGAGATGGCACACCTTACATTGAAGGAGACTACATGAAGCGGTCTCAATTGGGTATTACTCTGGAGAAAATTGCCGAAAATGGTGTGGAAGAGTTTTACGGTGGCGGAGAAATAGGCAAAATGTTTGTAGAAGATATTAGAAACATGGGTGGAATTATTACGGAAGAAGATTTGAGAAATTTCAAGTACGTATGTTAAAAAGCAATATCATAACTAATTTTACCAACCTTAAAAAAAATGCAAATTTTTCTCCTATTTAGAGTTCGTTGGGAGGATTCTGACCACATTATAGCGAATGTTACTGATGGATATACCCTCTACACAACTCCTTTGCCATCTAGTGGTGCCGTCCTTGCATTTATGTTTAACGTGTTGACGGATCTCCACACCGAAAACAGGGAAATATACTGGCAACGGGCAATTGAAACATTCAAACACGCCTATGGTCAACGAACCAACCTAGGTGATATGGAAAATGAGCCTGATCTTAAACAGACTATTGAGGAGACTTTCAAAAACATGACTAGCCAAGAATTAGCTGATCATATACGTACATTAATTTACGATAATAAAACCTTTGATGATTATGAATACTATGGAGCTAACTTCACATCTGTGGAAGATCATGGCACCGCAAACATGGCAGTGTTAGCAGCGAATGGAGACGCTGTGACTGTTACCAGTACCATCAACAATTAGTAAGCTCTTTCAAAAAGTGTTGATGCTAAATACAATATTATGTAATACATA